CTCTCTCTCTCTCTCTCTCTCTCTCTCAAAAATAAAAATAAAGAGGACAGAGTAGCACGGTGAGCTTTCCCCTCAATTTATCTCTCTTCCCAAGTGGTGTCACATTTATCCCAACTATCCAGTGTGATATCAGAAAATAATCTTTGGTTCTTTCAATTTTCACAATTTCTGAATCCATTCAGCCAGTAAGTCCTATTTGCTTGTTCTTTTGAAGTTTTTTATAGTCAGCTAATCTTCCCTGTTGCCTCATAGCTGGATGTCTGGAAGAACAGACATAATGGATGATGTGTTATGATTTTAGAATTAATATCAATGGATTTTAAAATGCATTAACTGAAAAATAAGTTAACCTGGGTTATCTCATTTGAAAAATGGGGACACAAGAAGCACATTAGGCAGTTAGTTAATATAGGTACCCAAGTCAAACCAGGATAAAACCAAGTCTCCTGATTCCAATTTTTTCACTCTTTATATTAAATCAGGCTACCTGCCTTTTCTCCAATATATTTTGTTTACACAGCTGAATTGTTTTCATTCTGCTTTCCCCAGATCAGTTTCCTGCTCAAAACCCAGCATTGTTTTTTTTCTTTCCTTTTAAGTTAATCTATGCTCTTCTGCTAGCAGTAAGATCCACAGAATTTTACCCAACTAAAATATTGTTCAGTAATTCCTAATGTTTCCCCTCCAATCTTGTCTTGATTTTTTTTTTTTGGCTTTGTGAATTTTTAAGCTGCTTCCTCCTATGCACCACCTTTTCAGAATCTTTATTCTGTAGGTCCATGTCTCAGGCTCTGTTTCTTTATGAAAACTTCTCTGACTTCTTCATTCATAATGATAATAAGTGGTAAGACTAATTCTCAGTCTTCTTCCTACAGTTTATTGTCTACATTTAATTACGTACTCTGCTCCACTGTTTTCTAATTTTAAAGTGCTTCTTCACATTAAAAAAAAAGGTCATAAGGTTTTGAGAGCAAAATATTTTTCTTGTCCTTTCTGATTCTTCCCTAACACTTTACTGTTTTTGCTGTGTGGTGCATATATCACAAATATGTGGTTACTTGGTTGATTATCGGGTAAGATCCTCACTTCCAACTGAAAGTCTTAGAGCATTTACTCCTTTCTCTGCTGGTCACTGAGATCCCCTATACATATGGATGCAAAAGAAGGATAAGCTAAACCCAGCCCCTGAAGTTTGCACTCTACTCTAGAAAATAAAATTAACACACATGAAACCTCTGGAGAACATTATGTTGACTTGTACAATTCTAGTTGTTAGTTTTTACTTTCACTTGGAGGAAAGACTGTTACAGACCTTGGAAGTCAAGGATGTTTCATAAAGAGATGGAAATTTCCTGAGTCATGGAGAATAGGCACAGTTCAAAAGGGAAGCAGATGAGAAGCAGCAAGAGTGTGAAGTTTGCCATCATTCAGGGGACAGTGGGAAACTAAGCTCATTGGAGCATTCTCCACTGGTAACTTTTCTGGGAACTGCCAGATAATGTAGCTGACATAAAAGTTGGAAGCAAATACACATATTCTGTATAGTAGGCTCTAAATCAGTAAGAACGTATGATATCATAGCCTCAGATGAACTCTGAATATATGTAATAAAATATCTTAAGTTCAATTAATTCTGATAATTCAGAGAACCTCAGAAACAAAGTAAATAAAACCTTGCCAATTAGGTTAAATTTTCACATTCTGTTTATTAAATTCATGTTGGCAAGTGAGATAAGCAGAGGTTGCAGTGTGCTTCGTATGTATTTTAGTTACGTGTTTCTCCTATAAAGTAAGAATAAATTCATAGTGTAATGTATTGACATTTTTCTAGTACTTCAGTTTGTAAGTCCTTGTAAGTATATTTTCTCTCCATTTATTCTTGATTTTTCCCTCAGAAACAGTGCAGTTGCTTTACTTAAACAGAGAAATACTTAAACAATGCAGATTTAACAGCAAATTAGTTTTGTTTTGCATGCTGCAAATTAACCATAGTTAACAATGCAAGAGTTGACTTTTCATTGCACATTTATCTCTTCAATTTTTTTATTCTGACTATATGGGTGGCATTTGTTCATTGTATAAAATATGGAAACTAGAAATGACAAAAATTTAACAAATATGTAAATTCGAGCATCTACATACTCCAAATATCCATGTCCAGAGTTTCAACATTTTGACATTTTTAGACTTTTTTTTACATGACATAGATTATGTTATAGAGATAATTTCCATGCCCTTCTTTGTTATTTAATATTTTAGTAGGCATTTTCCGTAGTCATTTACAGACTGTCTTATTATGAAACCAGCATAGAATTCTGAAGTGAATATTAAAATTAAATCAGACTTGGTCTCAGACCTGACTCCAGCATATTAAATATTTGTCTTGTCTTTGAACAAAGTAACTTCTCAGGGCCTCGCTTTCTCTATCTGATAAATGAAAAAGTGTTTATCTTAAATGATCTCCAAATTCCTTTTGAGCTTCGACTTTTTAGATTCTATGCAGTGTTTTTTTAAGGGATGCTCATCTATAATGCTGACTTACATGAAATATTTGGCAGCTTAAATGTTCATTTGTGGCTCGTTGTGTCTCATTGCTGAAGCCAGCGTGAGTTGGATTACTGCTCTAGTTTTGCGTTTGTTATGTTTGATCTATCTGGGCCTCATTAGAATGTAAACCAGGGTACAGTGAGGAATGGACCCTTAGTACTGGAGGGGCATAGAACAGAGGTCTCAGCAAATAGGGACGAAATGGGATGTTGGATGTTCAAGTACCTAATTCTATGTTAGACTCTTACTGCATGTTTCAAAATAAGTCCAAAGCAAAATCACAAATTACTACTCAGACTTTTGCAGTTCTCACAAATGTTGAGACCCTCAGTGTTGAATTCAGGAAAGTCACAGCTAGCATTTACCTTTAAATGTACTTTGTATTGTTATAAATATTTACTGAAGTGTAATAAGTTATTTGATGTTACTCTGATCACCGTTTACTTGATATAAGAGGCTACTCTGTGATAGTTTTACTTTCTTGTAAAACTGTTTGCAATTATGTGACTTTTATTGTATGACTTATGTTGAGGCCTAGAATACAGAATTTATTTTTAAGAAATATCCTGTTTGTAGAAGAAAGCTGAAACTGTACTAGTATACATTGATTTGGTTTTTGGGTTTTTTTTTTTTTTTTTTTTTTTTTTTTTTTTTTTTTTTTTTTTAGTTTTTCTAAATGTTTCTATTTAATTAACATCATTGACATTTAGCTACAAATGTAAAATTTTAAATAAAAGCTTGAAACATGAGTGCCTACTATTTTCTAGGGGGAGAATGAAAAAAATCCTATGTGGTTTGTTTTTATTACATTTTTACTAAATTTTTACTAAATTATATTTGTCTTGAAATAATTTGATTTTTTAAAATTTAAATGAAATCTGAAACAGTTAAAAAAATTATTTCACTTGACACAAGATATTGACAAATAAATAGAAGAATTATTGCCAGTAATAATGGAATGATTATTTTCAAGTAAGATGTTCTAGAATGCAGATGAATGTCATTTTCTTTTTTCAGAAGAATATTTTGGGTGCCTTGTCTTTTAGAAATGCACCTTTTGTACTTTTGGAATATTAATCTTAAGCCTTCAAATGCATGCTGAACAAATATTATTTGATTAATACTTTTGTAAAAAAAAAAAAAAAAAAAAAAAGGTTTAGGGGCACCTGAGTGGCTTAGTGGGTTGAGTGTCTGCCTTCGGCTTAGGTCATGATCTCACGGTCTGTGAGTTCGAGCCCCACGTCGGGCTCTGTGCTGTCAGTTCAGAGCCTGAAGCCTGTTCAGATTCTTTGTCTCCCTCTCTCTCTGCCCCATCCCCTACATGCTCGTGTGTGCTCTCTTTCTGTAAGAAATAAATAAACATTAAAAAAAAAAAAAAAAGAAAGGTTTGCTGTTGGAGACAGTGGTGTTGATCACTGTTACCTGCTTTTCCAAACAGATAAGGTGCTAATAACATTTTCAGTTCGGTGAATAGAGAATTCTAATTTTTGCCTGAGCTACTTTTTACTCAGTTGTGTGTAATAAGTGGAGATGCAGCATGAACTAGATAAAATCCCATCCTCACTGGAACTTGTGCTCTAGTTAGGAGAACAGAAAGTAAACAAATAATGATATTGTATTTTGTCAGGTAGTTGTAAGTGCTAGGAGGAAAAATAAAGCAGGGAAGGGGATAAATAGTATATGGAGGTTTATACTTTAGGTAAAGTCATCAGGAAAGGTAATATTTGACCAGAGCCTGAAAGCAGTAAAGGAGCAAGCCATGAGGTTATCTGGGTAAAGAGCATGAAAGCTAGACGACTCAAGTGTAGAAAAGGGAGGCACGTGAATCCCTTCAGCATGTTGAAGAGCAGCAAGGACAGTGTGACTAGAGTTGAATACGGTATTCAGGGGCTAAATAGTATACTGTCTTTAAAGCCAAGGTAAGAACTTTGGTTTGGTGAGTTTTAGAAAGTTTTGGTCAGCATTATGACATGATGCTGGTTTGCATTTTTAAGGAATTTCCCTGGCTGCTGTGTGAAGAATGGTCTTTGGGGAAGCAG